GCTGGTGGGACATGCAATTGCCAGTGAGGCGGGATCCTGAAACTGAGCGAACTGGGGAATGAGCAGCCTGCCTCATGCACAGTCCAAAGAGGTGTCACGAGCCCCCCTGTGGCATGTGGTATCTCAGGCAGTGATGTATCATGGAGCACATGGCAGCAGACTGTGTCTAACACCAACTCCAACAGACAACCCCTCCCTACATGAGCATGAAGCTTTGCTACCATGTCAGCACCATGGAGGAGCAGCCTGGGGTTGGTTTGTCTGGGTTGCTAACAGGAGCTGCCATACGCTAAAGTTTTGTGTCATTTGAAGGAAATTCCTTGTGCCTCTTTGAGGTCCCCAGGTCCTCTCTCCCTCCTCCTGGGCCTGTGCCTCTCTCCTCCCCTGCACAGGCTGAGCTGCCTATGTGGTTCCCTTCATCCCCAGGCAGGCAGGTCAGGCCAAACTCCCCTGTTTACCAGTGCAGGCAGACACTGAGTGTAAACTGATCTGAGGAGATATTTTGGCAAGCTCTGACTGTGGTGTCTGGCACCTGGTTTTGGTGCTAGGGAAGGGATATCACTGTGTGGCAGGGCTAGAAATTGTCTCATGTCCCCTCTTATTCATCCCCTTTATAAGGTAACAATCCCAAGTCTTTTCAACCCCTCTCCACAGCAGCATTCCCCAGATTTTGCTCATTCTCTGACCCCTGCTAGTTCTGCAGTACGCTGAGGGGGAAGGGTGCCCAACAATGCACAGGGGCATCCAGAGGAGAGTGAGGTATTGACTAACCAATTTTGTGGCCTTGAATTTTCTGTAGGATCCCCATTCCCCCACCACTGGCCTGACTCCCCGTGTTTTGTGCAGTTTCTGTCCATATAAGCACCGTGCTTACGCCCACACCCATGCGCCATGATGCCCAAGCCGCTGTCTGAGTCCATACAGTTCAATTAGAACCTTGCTGGGTGTGTGAGGAGGTCACGTTTTTCCCTCCAATGGGCACTTGTGTTACAGTGATCGACACTGCGGTTCCTCAGCCCTCAGCCGCCCACTCCCCTGGCTTGCTCAGTTCCCTCTGAGGACTTCTACTGACCCTGAGCTAAAGAATCTGGAGATACCTTCAAATGTCACCAGCTCACTGATCAACCCCTTTTCTAGATGGGAAGTATGGACAAAATCTTAACCGCATCAATTCTTATGAAATGTGTAACCCCCTCACTGTGTGTCTCTCTCTTCACAGGTCTCTGGAGGATTCTGAGCCCAATCCATGCATCGGCCACCTCATGGCTAACTTCAACCTAACCTCTTCTAAACCTTCTGCATTGATCCTAATGGGCATCCCTGGCCTGGAAGCAGCCCACATCTGGATTGCCATCCCCTTCTGTGCCTGCTACACGATTGGCCTGTTGGGAAATTTCATGGTTCTCTTTATTGTAGGCAAAGAGCAGAGCCTGCACAAGCCAATGTACCTGTTGATCTGCTTCCTGGCGCTCACCGACATCAGCATGTCCACCTCGGTCATCCCGAAGACACTGTGTATATTGTGGTTCAATCTGAAAGACATTACTGTGGGTGGCTGCCTCACCCAGATGTTTTTCCTTCATATGGTTATTGTGATGCAATCAGCCGTTCTTGTAACAATGGCTTTCGATCGCTACATTGCCATAAGTAACCCTTTGAGATACACTACCATCCTCAGCAATGCACGAGTAGTTAATCTGGGGCTAGTGTGTTTGATAAGAGCTGTTCTCCTGGTTTTACCTCTGCCCCTGCTCCTGAGCAGGCTGCCGTTCTGTGCCAACCGCATCATCCCCCATACGTACTGCGAGCACATAGCTGTGGCAAAGGTGTCATGTGGGGACACCACAGTCAATCGGATGTATGGACTGGTGTCAGCATTTGCAGTCACGGGGTTAGACCTGACGCTTATTGCTCTGTCCTATGGACTGATCATCAGAGCTGTCCTCAGAATCTCCTCCAAGACAGCCCACCAGAAAGCCCTGAACACCTGCACAGCCCACCTTTGTGTCATCCTGGTGTCTTACACTTCCTGCCTCTTCTCCTTCCTGACACAAAGATTTGGCCAGAGCATCCCTTCCCAAGCACATATCACTTTTGCCAACATCTATGTCCTCGTCCCTCCCATTTTCAACCCCATCATCTATGGGGTCAAAACAAAAGAGCTTCGTGCCAAAGTGGGTAAATACATCTGCAGAAGGTGATCGCTTGGGGTCACTGACCCAAAGCGGCAGGACAAGAAGGGGAAAGGAGACCTCTTCATGAAAGACTTGTGCTTTTACCCCTCTTCGCTTCAGCTCAGCGATGTGGAAATTCACAGTCTCAGATGCTCCTCATACCCAATCATAGAATACTAGGACTGGAAGGGACTTCAAGAGGTCATTGAATCCAGTCCCCTTCCCTCATGGCAGGACCAAATACTGTCTAGACCATCCCTGATAGACATTTATCTAATCTACTCTTAAATATCTCCACAGATGGAGATTCCACAACCTCCCTGGTCTTAGCACAGAATGACTCTGTTGTTCAGTTGTCTCTTTCTGATCATCAATATTACTCATCAGCCTCCACCTCCATGCATCTGGCACTTAGCATTTCTTTGACTTCGAGGCCACCAGAAGATACTGTATTTCCTGACGGAAAATGACTTTTTGTGAGTCCACACTGAAGCTGCACTTTCAGAAGAATATTGAAAGAACAGAGGGGCTTTTCCGACATTAGCAAACCTCTTTCTTTGAGGAAGAAGCCTTTTTCTGAAAGAGCTCTTTCGGAAAATTGTATGTGTGGATGAGGAAGAGGGAATTATTTCGGAAGAAGAGGTAAAAGGAAAAAGCACAGGTGCCCTGGCGACCATTCCATCCATAGCAATCACATCTTACATGTGAAAGAGCAGCTATTTAATGTGGACATGATCTTTTGAAAAAGCAGATCAGTTTTTTTATGCGTTTTTGTGTGTGGACACTTTATTCACAAGAAGTTTTTTGGAAGATATCTTCCAGAAAAGCTTCTTCTGAAAGAAGCCTGTAGTCTAGACGTCGCCTCAGAGAACCAAAGATAAAGAAAGGAACTATGATGCTGGATTTCTCTATAGTATCAGCAGTTGTCCTGGAACAAAATTTGCTAGATTTTTCAAACTAAAATCCTTTAGTAAGCCTGGAGGATAATCCAAAGGTTGGAGGTGGAAAGCTGCTGTGGGCATTGATAACATTCTACTTGAGCTTTTTGGTGAGAGTCGGAGTGCTGTGTGTCACCACCGTCTTTGAATCAAATAACTTTACACTTTACACAGTCAATTTTTGAGTTACTTTTAACGCTAGCCATGCCCATGGTCACAGATGTCAAAAGTAGATGCTGAGATTTCATGCTGGCGTTGGTGTAACAATTCAAATGTCAATTGCTATCACACATCCAAGTGATTGAATCATGTGCAGTACTCGGTCCTTCCGCTGTGCTCAGCCCTTGAAGACGCAGGTTGTCTGATATTTCCCTTTGGTCATGGTTTGGTGGAGACTTTGGATGCTTGGAGCAGCCGTGAAGAGGTTTGCCTGTGGCTGATGTGCCTTAGAACAACCAAACAGAGCTGTGATGGGTTTAAGTTCTCAATCACATCTTGGATGATGCTGGGGAGAAGACTATAATGATCGTTTCCTGGTCACTCCTTCTTTGCTGCTTCTATGGGTATGTCTAGACTATACGGCTCCATCGATGGAGCCGTTTAAACTAGTTTACCCAGCATAGGCAAAGTAAAATAAATATGGCCTCCACGCTGTGTTGACGCTCAGGCTTAGAGGATTGGTTGGCAAAGGCTTCCCCAGCCGACCAGTCTGTGTCTAGACTACCGCGCTGTGCTGGATCAGCTGATCGTCGGCACAGCATGGCGGCCATGTTTATTTAATGAAGCGGGGATTATTTAAATCCCCGTTTCTTTCCCTGTGCCAGGTAAACTAGTTTACATGGCTCCGTCGACAGAGCCATGTAGTCTAGACATACCCTATCTGTTAGAATAAGAACAAATCTGCACTAGATCACTATTTCACTAGGAGGGTGTTGAAGCACTGGAATGGGTGACCTAGGGAAGTAGTGGAGTCTCCATCCCTAGAGGTTTTTAAGTCTCAGCTTGACAAAGCCCTGGCTGGATTGATTTAATTGGGATTGGTCCTGCCTTGGACAGGGGGCTTGACTTGATGGCCTTCTGAGGTCTCTTCCAGCTCTATGATTCTACGAAAATGTGGCCATTCACTGCTAACCTCAAATGCCATTAGAAATAAGTGTAACCTCTTGTTACCCCCTTGGTTCTTTGGTAGCAGGCAACTCTCACCTGTGTTCCTGGGCGCCTAATGTTTTTAACATTAAAGAAGATCCTGAGTATCCCGGGGTAGATTTGAATAGTTGAGGATCACCTATTCACCCCCTTCCTGCAGTCCCTTGCTTCTAAAGAAATATAAAATGGCAGGGCCTCCATCTGTCTGGCCCTGTACACATTTAATGGTATGCATTGGGAACCTCCAAGAACAAACTTATTCTAGTAATAACCTGAATCTAACTCCAAAACAAAAATGATAAATAGCATTCATAAGAACATAAGGAGGGCCATACTGGATCAGACCAAAGGTCCATCTAGCCCACTAACCTGTCTGACAACAGTGGCCAATACCAGATGTCCCAGAGGGAGGGAACACATCATGTAATCCTCAAGTGATCTCTCTCATGTCATCCATTTCCAGACAAACAGAGGCTAGGGACACCATTTCGACCCATCCTAGCTAATAGCCATTGATGGACCTAACCTCCATGAATCTATCTACCTCTTTTTTGAACCCTGTTAAAGTATTAGCCTTCACTGCATCCTCTGGCAAGGAGTTCCACAGGCTAACTATGCTGAGTGAAGACAATCTTCCTTTTGTTTGTTTTAAACCTGCAGCCTATTAATTTTATTTGGTGACCCCTCGTTCTTATATTGTGGGAATAAATAAACAACTTTTCCTTCTTCACTTTTTCCACGCCTGTCATGATTTCATAGATGTCTATCATATCCCCCTTTAGTCTCCTTTTTCCTAAAATGAAAAGTCCCAGTCTTTTTAATCTCTCTTCATATGGGACCCATTCCAAACCCCTCATAATTTTTGTTGCCCTTCTCTTTTCCAATGCCAAGGTATCTTTTTTGAGATGAGGTGACCACATCTGTACGCAGTATTCAGGATGTAGCTGTACCAGGTTTTTATAGAGAGACAATAGATCTTCTCCATCTTATTCTCTATTCCTTTTTCAATGATTCCTAACATTCTATTTGTTTTTTGACTGCCACTGCACACAGAGTGGATGTTTTCAGAGAACTATCCACAATGACTCCAAGATCTCTTTGTCTTGTGTAGTTAAATTAGTCTCCATCATATTGTATATATAGCTGGGTTTATTTTTTCCAATGTGCATTACTTTGCCTTTATCAACATTAAATTTCATTTGCCATTTTGTTGCCCAATCACTTAGCTTGATGAGATCTTTTCGAAGCTCTTCACAGTCTGTTTTGGTCTTAGCTGTCTTCCACAGTTTGGTATCGTCTGCAAATTTTAACACCACAGGGTACGTCTACACTGCCACCCTAGTTTAAACTAGGGTGGATAATGTAGGCATTCGAAGTTGCAAATGAAGCCCGGGATTTAAATATCCTGGGCTTCATTTGCATCTTGCCAGGTGTCGCCATTTTTAAATCCCCCTTAGTGCGGATTCCGTGCCCGCGGCTACATGCGGCACGGAGTGGGTAGTTCGAATTAAGCTCTCTAATTCGAACTACTGTTACTCCTCGTGGAACGAGGTGTACTGGTAGTTCGAATTAGAGAGCCTAATTCGAACTACCTACTCCATGCCGCATGTAGCTGCGGGCACAGAGTCCACACTAAGGGGGATTTAAAAATGGCGGCACCTGGCAAGATGCAAATGAAGCCCGGGATATTTAAATCCCGGGCTTCATTTGCAACTTCGAATGCCTACATTAGCCACCCTAGTTCGTAGACATACCCTCATAGATTACCTCTTTCTCTAGATCATTTATAAATAAATTGAATAGAATCGGTCCCAGGACAGACCCCACTAGTTACCTCTCTCCACTTGGAAAACTTACCACTTATTCCTATCCTTTGTTTCCAATCTTTCAATCCTTTATCAAATCATGAGAGGATCTTCCCTCTTATTCCATGACAATTTTCTTTACTTAAGGGCCTTTGGTGAGCAACCTTGTCAAAGACTTCCAGGAAACATAACTATACTGTATACATTGGATCTCCCTTGTTCACATGCTTGTTGACCCTTCCCCTCCCCTCAAAGAACTCTAGTAGATTAGTAAGACATGGTTTCCCTTTATAGAAACCATATTGACTTTCCCCCAACAAACTATGTTAATCTATGTGTCTGAAAATGTTATTCTTTACTCTACAGGCAGTCCTCGGGTTACGTACAAGATAGGGACGGTAGGTTTGTTCTTAAGTTGAATCTGTATGTAAGTCGGAACTGGCATCCAGATTCAGCCACCGCTGAAACTGACCAGCGGCTGACTACAGGAAGCCCGCGGCAGAGTTGCCCTGCCCCCGGGCACTCGGGGCGCA